ACGAGCAATTGTTACCCCTACAACTGATCCCAAGATAGTTACCTTCGAACCTTCACTAATATGCGATGTATGTGCCATCAAAAAAATTTTTTTTAAAAAAAAAAAAATTGTATAAAAAAAAAAATTGTAAAAAAAAAAAAAAAAAAAAAGAGAAAAAAAAGATTGCCACGAACTATATTATGTCCGTAACAATGCTTCGAAACAGAACTTTGGGCTTGTTGGGTAAGTATTTTAGTATTTTAATACGAAAGTTTTTAACTACACTTTATTGACCACTTTTTTTTTTCTTGTATCGGTATCCTCTTTATATGAAAAAATTTTTTAATAATGATAATGGGGAAAAAAAAATTGGGAAAAAGCCAAGCTACGTCTTAGAGGCTTTTGCCAATTTACTTATTAATCATCTATTACATCATTTTCGCTAAACTTTACTTAGTTAAATGCATGCAATTGAGATTGACTTATTTTAGCTTAATGCCGCTGATCAATCTCAGCCACAAGTGAATTTTCTGCACAAAATATGTGATGTAACTGGTTGTACGTAATCATCTACTTAAGAAAAAGACAATTATATAATATGAGATCAAGTGGCTTACTCAATCAATAGATAAACACTTTTAAAAACTGTCACAATGTAGTACAATGTACTACCGGTAGTACAGTGTGCTCCTATCCATTAAATATTGCATGTCGTTGAAATAGTTCTCAAAATTATAATTCCATTTTATTAACGCACAGTGTACATAATTCAAATAAAGGATGATTTTTCAAAATATTATTGAAACCATTAACCTTTCAAATTGTCTCGAAGTTATTACCTTAATCTTAGCTACCTATATCTTTAACTTTTATTACAATTATTTTACTCGTACCAATCGGCTCCCCGGTCCATTTCCTTTACCATTTATTGGAAACTATCATAATTATGCCTATGATAGTAAACGATTCTATGAGCAATGTCAACAGAAATATGGAGATATCAGTGAAATAATGCTCGATCGTAGATATATCATTCTTTCAAAGCCACAATATATTAAAGACCTTTTTGGCTCATCAGCCTTTTTTCCGAGAATACCATATTCGCAAGGTACGGTAGAAATTGGAATGTACGGACATGGGATCGTCTTCAATGAAGATCAAAAGAGTTGGTCCTATAATAAACGGTTCTTTACTGAATCATTATCAATTAAATTTATGGATGCGTCTATAGAATCCACAAATCAATTATTTAAAGAGCTAAGCGAATATTGGCAGTCGCTTGGAAGCCAAAATACTTCAAAGAAGAAGAATAATAATTGGGTATTGGAGACAGATTTTTCAGCATGGCTTCATGGATTCACGAATGATCTTATTTCAACAATAATCACCGGAAAACGCACGTATTCAATTGCATCTTATTATAACACGCAAAGCGATAGGAGGTCTGAACATCCTGATGCGTTAATCGAAAATGGGGACAAATTTGTAAAAGCAATTCTAAAGTTCGTTGAAAGTTTTGTGTTCGTCATGTTCGTTAACCCTTTTATGAGACATTACGTTCCAATAATCAGAGACATATCAAATTATTATTTAAAAAAACGTAAATATTTATTTGATGAATTGGATAGTATAATTACGAAGAGAAGAAAAGAGATTGAAGAAATGGCAATGGATACAGAAAAAAAAACAGATATGTTAACTTCCTTAATCATTGCTAAAATGGAGGATAAAGATATCAGAGGTAATTTGTTGGATGCTTTTTTGGGTGGAACAGATACTGTGAGTATTCCTTTCACTTTATTAATGATTTATTTTAATAATTACTTCATTAATTTTTAAAATCTACTTTCCTACTGTATATTTTTAGACAGCAAATTCATTCTGTTTTATAACCTATTATATTTGTAAGCACCCAGAAGTAAAACAAAAAATGCTTTCAGAAATCGACTTTGTATTATCTGATAGATTTTATGTATCAAGTAGCGATCTCAACAAACTAAAATATTGTGAAGCCATAATTAAGGAAACTGGTCGTGTATTGACGACTGCAGGTTTTACATTTCGTTACGTTCCTAATGAGTGTGAAGTCGCAGGATACAAATGGCCTGCTGGCACATATTTTCTTTTGAATTTTTATGGGGTACATAGTCACCCCAAATCTTGGATTGATCCAAAAGTTTTCAATCCGGATAGATTTTATAATGATAGTCCTCCCGATTTAATGATTTTTGGTTTAGGCAGACGTGCTTGCCCTGGAAAAAATCTGGCTATGAATGAGTTACTTTCATTAATGGCATTAGTATATAAACATTATAACGTTGATTTAGTTAATATAAATGAACCATTAAAACTTTTTATTAGTGGAATTACGAATTGTAAGGAATTAAAGGTTAAAATTAGTCCTAGAACTTGATTTATATGCATCTGAAATCAAATTGGCATGTCACAATAGCCGGTTAGATATTTATTCTTCATTGGTTAAATTTATAACACAGCCATGATAACAAAAGTTTTGTTGAAAAAATAATGTTACTAAAATAGGATTTCTTAGAAGAGTATTGCTATTTTTAACCGG